AGCATACAGCATACAGCATACAGCATACAGCATACAGCATACAGCATACAGAATACAGCATAAAGCATATAGATATGCATTCCATATACATATATAAAGAATGAATGAGTTCATGGCCCACTAGTTTCGCCCAAGTGGCTCGCCTGCTAGCCTTATCAGCTGTAGTAGTTCGAAGTATATTGTGGTTTGGCAATAAGCAATAAGCCAATAAGTGGCTAATTAGGTAGATAAAGAGTCACGGCCGCTGGGGCGCATTAGGCTAAGGTCACACTTTTATTGCCTTATAAATTCCAGATAATCCAAACTATTTAAAGCATTGTTAACTAGTTATCGAGGTCGAGTCAGATTAAATGGGGCCACTAAAGGAAAGCCCAAGTAGCGAAAAAGATTTGTTAATCTCTTACTAGCCTATAATTGGTTGAGCGAAAGTATTTATTTCTGAATAGCACGCAAAAGCCCATTTCAAGTGGATAGTCACCAATCCGATGATTCATTATAGTGGCTACCAGATGGTAGTAGCAACCACTATATCTAATCGAGTATGATTCGTTGATTTTCCCTTTCTGTGAATCCATATTACATATGCATTGCAATTGATATGAAAAAGGGTTTCCATTGAAATTTGAGCTATTTATAGCATTTGTTTATGGGTTTGTAAACTGGTTACAGAAGGAGAATGCTGCAATTCCCGAAAGCCTTTAAACACTAATATATAGATTAACAGCGGGAATCACTGAACAATACAATCCTAGTAAAGACTTTATTTCCAGACATGCCGGATCAATGTAAGCAGTAAAGTATATAAAGACCCTAGGTAGTATTAGACACAAATAGACAGAAATCAAACATGATCAAAGCCAGCTTAGCCTTGCTGTGCCCCCCCTGTGCACTGATCCCGGCCATCAACGCCTCGGGTATATATGTGGAACAACAACATTTTCAGGTGGAGCCCATGGACTATCAACAGATCAGAAAGCTGCAATCGCTGAACCTAATGTTCACCGAATATTTTCAAAATGGAACAGTGAAGGACATGGATATGTTCAGCCCACGGCTGCTCAACAAGGACGATCTGCAGTGCATTGCCGACATGGGTCGATGGATGAACGACCTCAAGTCGGGTCGTCTCTGGTCCATGAAATGTATACATATATCAAATTATTACATTGACCTCAAAATAAATGTTCTTTCAATCAAAAGTGATCGATTCCGGGGGCTCTATACCATCGGGCATACTCTATTTGAATCTTCTGGACATGAGCAACTATGGTGAATGCATCAAGATCAATAAGGAAGTGAGCGGTGGTCATTTGATCAAGGGCAAATATTGCCTTACCGAGATACCCATAATGCAAATGCTGGGATCGACCGGGATTTGTCGACGCTATCCGATTCGCTCTACTACTCGCTGACTCGCGTTGGCTGGCCCATCGGCCTGTGTTGGTTGATATTTGCCTGCATGCAGGGCAAGGGCGGAATGGCCAACAGTTTCCTCTCCACGCCGCTGTGGCAGCCGCTGTCGAAGCTATCCTACTCGGCCTACATGGGGCACATGTTCATCGAAGAAATTTACTATTTATTACTAATTTAAGCGAAAATAAATGGATGTCTTTTAGGTAGTTTTAATGAACCTGTCAATTGAATATTTCACTCTCAAGTGGATCTACAAAGGCCTTGCAGCAGGCCTTCAAAGCCATTTGTAAGGCCCTCGATGCCAATTAACCATGAATCAGTTGCGATTAATCGATTATTGGATACTTAATGGCTCGTTTGATAAGGTGCGTGGCTACTACAATGAAGTGACGAATTCTCACGAAGTCTGAGTATTCCATATTATTTATGGCCTTATCTACAAAAAACTAACCGTCATGCTTATCACTAAAAGTAACAGCTGGCGTTAGCTCTTACAACTCTTTCCTAGGGTATGCGAGGAATATGTGAATCTATAGATGTATAAGTATATGTGAATATGTGATCTAAGTATGATCTATGAAGATCTTGCATGGGCTTGAAAGTCCATAACTGTTTGCTGATATATTCTTTATCTAAGGAACTAAGGACTATTTGATTATAATATTATTTGCAATATGGAGTACATCGAGTCCTAGCTATATTATCTCTGAGTTGGGTCCAGGTCCTTAAGCATTATTCTGCAGATCGCTAGAGAACCGAGTGATTCCTAAAAGTATACCGCCTTTAATTCAATAGCAATATCTCATCTGTGCCCTACAAAGGTATTCAACCTTTGAAATTCTCAAACTCAAAGATTGTTTGAACATGTTGACAAAAATAAACCAGATGGACGCCATTGCCGTTCGCACGCTTCTAATATAGAATTTTGTAAAATTCGAAACTGCCTGAGCTTTAATATAATATTTAATATTAATATTTCCAGCATGATTTTCAAATTGTATATAAAAAATATTCCATTCAAAGATCAACGAATGACTGACTAAACATAGGCCTTTGATCAGGGGTATACCGTTATACAATGTCGGTGAATTGGCAGAAATATATAAAAATGTACTGATGCTTAATGATTTGTATAAATTATTTATTTTATTATTTAATTTGCTCTTATACGGTATTTTACTTAAAACTTAATTTTTTCAGAACTGCGAACTAGTTCAAATTGACGGCAAAAATAAATTGTATAAATACTTAAATATCACAATTATAAATATCTTAAATAAATAATATACAAATATTTAAACTTAACTACTTCTATATATAAGAAGTAAAGGCCTAACTAATCGGAACTGTTTTCTGCTCGTTTACTGGAGCAGTCTCTATGATTGAAGGCTCCAGTTCAACATTCGCGATCTTTGGTTCCACCGCGGTTGCTGCTGGCTTCGGACTGGGACGTCGATTGGGCAGCAGCAACATCTCTAGGCCAGCAAATGGCGCCTCGAACAGAATGTACATGAAATAGGACATCAGAATCGTAAAGCCAAAGTCATGCCAGAAGCGGAGCATCTGAAATGATATAGAGATATGAATATATTTTATATAAGGTATGATAGCTTGATATACATATATGGTATACGTACCACTTGATAGTCGCTGAAGTAGCTGCTGGTGCGTGTGATGCTCAGATTGTGTATCTCAATGAATATATGCCAGATGTAGGCGGAGTAGGAGAGCTTCGACAGGGGCTGCCACAGCGGAGAGGAGAGGAAACTGTTGGCCAAGCCGCCATAGCCATATTTGCAGGCAAATACCAGCCAGGCCAGGGCCAAGGGCCAGGCGACGCGCGTGAGCGTCACATAGAACGCTTCGCTCACAATGGGCACACGAGTGAAATTCGCCTGATAGGGATAGAGGGCGAACATGCAGGTGAATATGAGCGCCAAGCAAATTAGCCAACCCAGCCAAACAGCTAGGCGACTCAGCTTAAATGCCTTGGTGCGATTCACATGCAGATAGTAGCCGAAGAGCAGGCCAATTAGCCAGGGCGAGGTGCGCGTGTGGGTTGTGAAATAGATCTTATCTATTCCAGCATTCAAGCTGGAGCTGCAAAGAGAAGAAATCATATCAAATATCTAGGCGAAATTTGTGAGAGCTGGCAACGCCCTAGCAAAGTGACAGCATGATCAGTTAGTTGACAGCTCTGCAATTGCACTATGGGAAGGGAAAAACTTAACTAGGTGGCAACCTTTTCTGCTTACAGCCTGTCAAGTGCTTTGCATTAAGATGAAAGTTCTACGGGTGAAAGCTCTACAATTCAATGACCTTGCAATACTGAGAGAAGATACTTGACTATGTGGCAACTCTGTCTGTTTACTATAGGGTAAATATTAATGTGAGAAATTGATATTTATATAAAGTTCTATCCAGATTTCAACTCATATCATGCAAATTGTATATTAGGAGCAAAAACGTGACTATGTGGCAACTCTTGGTGTCAGCTATCTGTTGGACATTTACATACATCTTCAAGCTTGAAGTATGTATATGTTGGTACGCCCCCTAAACCTATTCACCTATACCATTAAGCTAGGTGGCAACACTGGGCATGCTCTACATAGAAGCATTCAAATAAGCAATATACATAACGAATCATTTCACAGAAGGAGATATATTCTAGGTGGCAACGCCCTAGAGAGCTAACCCGTTAGGTGAGATACTTACAGGCTATATCCTTTGATAACCATCATGCTAAACAGACAAGCGACCATCAGCAGCATGAAGACAACAATTCCAGCTACCGCCTTCCTGCCCCACTTGTAGAGCCCAAACAGCATGATTGGCGCAATGATGTACAGCTGCATGTCAACGCTCAGATACCAGGAGTGAACCAAGCACTACGAAATGCAAAACTGAACGTTAGTCTTATATATATGATATGTAAACCATGATTTCCTACCATATGTTCGGTGGCATAGTTTTGAACGTAGAGCAGAGTCAGGAACCAGTTTTCTTTGCAGTTATTGCCTGCTAATTTTACGTAGCTGTTGTGCAATGGACCATTGCCCAGGATGGGTAGAATTCTCATATAGAAGATTATGGCCACGGCTAAGACGGGCGTGAGGCGTAGATAGCGATGCAAATACATCAATGGGACATTCAGCTTGCCCTTCGATCTATGAAATTGAAAATTGAGGTTAGGTTGAAAGTTCTCAAGTGACTTTGGGAAAATCAAATTTAGATAAGTCAAAGCAGATAGGAATAGATTGAATGAGTTGAGAATGTATTGAGATTAGATCTGGGCCAGCGTAGATGAGTTTAGCGTAAGTAAATTGAGGTTAGGTACAATGTAGATAAGTTGAAACTAAAAGAGGTTAAGTGAGATGTATTGAAGATACATAAGTCAATTACCTTTCCATGGCGCGCAGAGCAACCATAACCACCAGCATCCCGCTCAGAAAGAAGAAGGTATCCACAGAAAACAAGCCATGCATGATGAACACGCTGTATGGCGATTTATACCACTGCAGAAATTGATAAAGCAAACGCATAAGAATATCAATAGATTAATAAATCAATATATATGTATACTTTTTAGTGGAACCTACCGGAATGATATCGACCAGATTGATATTGGGCGCAAGAGCCTGAATCAGAGTATCATGGCCGTATACAACCCAAATGAGAGATAAGCAGCGTATGCCATGCAGACAATCGATGACATTTGGATTCGATTTGCTATCCACGATTCGGAAAAGTGAGCGTGAGTTTGCACGTGCCGAAAATATCTTGACCAAGGTGGGTAAGTGCTCTGGAGGAGTGCAAGAGGGACGTGAAATAGATTTCATGGACATTTTACTGCAGCTACTCACTCTGATCCTTGCACAGAAAGTAATCGCAGCAGGTGGCCAAGAGCATGGCCACTACGAAGACGCCAAAGAGAACGCTGAAAGAAGAAGAAGAAGAAGACACTTGGGGATAAGCAACAGTCGGACGTACTGCAGCAGAGATTTTGGCACTTACATGGTAAATATGGCTAGGCCATCGAGCGGTTCCGGCTCTGCAGTATCGCACTCGCCAGCATTGATCAACTGTTGTGCTATGTTCAGATTGAACAGTTGCTGGAAGAGCTGGCGCAGCAGCAGATCTATGTGATCCACCGTGCAGGAGGCGGGCAAGCAAATAGCTGTCTGAATGCCCGACGAAGTCAGCGCTCCGCCCATATCGCTTCCTGCCAACTTCGCCAAACAGTATTTGCCGCGCAGGCTCTGGCCCGTATTTGCCATGGGTTGGCTCACCCTAACGCACTCATCATAGTTGCCCAGATCCTTCAAATTGCCATGAAGTATGCCGGCAGGTAGTCGACCCCAAGAGTCAATCACTGCAGAGCAAGAGAGACGAGAGAATTGCAGTTCGAGCTGCCTTTGCTTCAATTTAACCTCACTTACTTCGCAGCGCCCAAAGGCTGCCATCTTTTAAGCCCTGGCTGAGCAGAGCGATTTCCGCCATACACTGCATATCCTGCTGGTTGGGCAACTCTGCGGCAGGCGATTGCACATCTCGGATCGTTATGTTGCCATAGTAGTCGATGAACTCAACCGCCAGGTGGCGCAACTGCAGCAATCGCTGATGGCCTTCAATATCCAACGACTCGCCGTTCGCCTGGCCCAAGGCAATGATCGCGCCGCACAGCACAAGAAAGTAAAACTGAATTCGCAACATTCTCGTTGACTATGGCTGGTGTCTCTAATCGCATGGCTATCCGCTGGCCTCCCTTTTATACCAAGCTGATAAACACTGCCGATCTGCCTTAAATTATTCGTCTGAACTTAATCAATAATTGACCGTCGATTAGACCACAGCGACAGACACCGCGGTGGATCACGAATCGTTCGCCCGCCTTCATACCGACTACCTATTTTTTAGTAAACTCACTCAGATAACGAGCGTGTGTACTGCCCGAGCAACGGGTGTTCTCTTAGTCAGAACAGTGGCAGTTGAGTTCTCCATGGGCTTACCCTATTTAATATATATTTGATGCAATACTCATTATATTGCAGATATAAAGTGTGTGCTAGTGATTCTTAAAGGCCCAGTAAAACAATATCTTTATGATATAAACTCAGTTACTAATTGGAAGGGGGATTGCCATACATACGGCAATAAAGGTATTTCAGTAGGCAAACTGATCTGATCATTCTACATGTACATATTTCAGCTTTGCTTTTATTTAAAGGAGTTGAACAACTTCAACCAGTTGATTAATTTCTAACTAATTGATAGATTGGCGGGTTGACTGACTAACTCATTGATGTCCAACTCACTGTCAATCTGCCTACCTAAATGATTGACTGACAAATTTATTCACTGATTGATTTTGGCCCATTTAGCCGCCAGATCAACTGATAGATTGACTCATTTGCTGTCTTACAAAATGGCTGATTGACTATCAAATTAATTAAATGTTGATTGATTGATGATTTATTTACATAACAAAATAACGAAACTGCAGAAAAAGTTGAATAAAACTTATTTTCATGACTATTTACTTTCAAAGGGAATAAGTTTTGGGATCGAAGTCCATTCGTTCACGTTCGGTCGATTAAGATCTCGATTATAAAGTCTCGTCTAGCTCTTATCTAATCCAATGTTCTGGGTGTGAACAAAAATATACAAAATGTTGCCCAAAACATGTCTCGTGAAATAAAAACAATAAAAGTATGACCTAACCTAACTATAATGAGTCCATTAAACAAATGAAGTAGGAGTTAGTTTAGGGTGCAGCAGCACCTTGCTGCACTCAATCTAATCGAATCAAATTTATTAGTTCCGATGAAAGCTGGAACTGTAAAAGAATAGCAATATTTCCAACTAATCCGTAAATAATATATTACTTTTGGATGGTGAGTCACATGTGGTTGTATGTCTCTGAGATATGTATGCATAAAATATGGCATCTAACGATCAGGGCTTATACAATCTTATCATGTCTCCCTCTTTCGACCCCTCTTATATCAGTCTCAGCGAGGCCAACAAGAAAACGTGTGATTGGTTTTTGAGAATAATATAAAGCACATATCTAAATTATTAAACAACCATAATAAAAGAATTTTAATAAGATTACATGAATTATTGAACAGTGGCTGCTACCTTTGGACTTTTAAGTACACATTCGAGTAATTATCGTAACGATGCTGATGTTATTTCATTAAACGAATGACTAGCATGTGTATATTTGTTTTGTATAGATTTAAAAAAAAAAAAACAGCTTCTTAAATTATTGCGCCAAATTTGATTGCGATCAATGTGAGTAATCGATAAATCTGAATTATAATTCAACTGCGATATATTGAGTTCAACAATTTGAAATGCGCGCCAATTATTTTATTCTTTATTTCGTAGAACACGCTAGAAAAATGTACATTAACAAAAAAAATAAGATAGTGAAACGCCAAAAACTAAAATGTCAGAAATAAATAAATAAATAAATAAAGCATTTAGGGGTGTTTTTAGGTAACAAGTGCAATAATATATTGGTCAGTTCTGACGTCATCGCATAAAGGCAGTTTTGTTTACCAACACTCTGCAAAATGTTCACCAAACTCATTTTTAAAATTAAATAAGCTCATATAAAAAATATTTACACTCCAATTACTCGCTTTGATAAATATTTTAATATTTTCACACAAATTACTTGTAATGCAGCCCTGACTGGTTTGCCATTCACATGTTCGAGCACCGTGCATCTCTGTATGTATGCGACTATGAAGAAGAATATGAGAGCTGACAGCTGTCAACTCGCTTTTCCTTTCTTTCCGGTCTCTGCTCCATAGAAGACGCAAAGTACGTGAAATTTATAAAACGAAATCTGCCAAATAATTGCGAATCCGCAAAAGTGTTTAATTAAATGAAAATGAATTGAAAGCAATGTTAAACGCAACGGCCGCCAATATACGTGTTGTGTGCATAACTATTGCAGATTGCCAATTATTTGACAACAAGAATAGCATAAACAACAACAACAATAATAACAGAAATTCTAATATGTTTATATTTTTTTTATCTTTTTGTTTTCGTTGTGTGCAGCATGTTCATGCCAAAGGCTCATCGTGTCGCCATTTATGAGTACCTCTTCAAGGAGGGCGTCATTGTGGCCAAAAAGGATTTCCATGCACAGAAGCATCCTGAACTGGAATCAATTCCCAACTTGCATGTGATCAAGGCATTGCAATCACTGCATTCTCGTGGATTGGTCAAGGAACAGTTCGCCTGGAGGCATTACTATTGGTATCTGACCAACGAGGGCATTGAGGAGCTGCGCACCTATCTGCACTTGCCACCCGAAATTGTGCCCTCCACACTGAAGAGGCCGACGCGCTCCGAGCCGTTGCGTCCTCGTCCCGCTGCCGGCGGACCACGCGGCCCAGCCGATGCCTCCAAAACAGGCGAGGATCGTTCAGCCTACAGACGCGCCCCTGGTGGCAGCGGCGTCGACAAGAAGGGAGACGTTGGACCCGGCGCCGGTGAGGTTGAGTTCCGCGGCGGCTTCGGACGTGGCTCGCGCAACTAAGACGGTCACTTTTTTTTCTATTCAAATAAGTTTAAAGTGAATTCCAATAACATCAAGAAATGGAAAACAATATATATTGTGTGTATGTTTTGTATTATGAGGCAGAAACAAATTGCAGCAATGCAAAATGACTAAAATAATTATAAAGCAAGCGCAAAGTGAAACTAGAAATCTGTCTAACTCGTCTTTTTTTTTTCCGTGCCGTTTACGCGCGCTTTTGAGCTGCGCATCGCTTCCTACTACAGTGGTCGCTCGCTAAAGGCGTTGCCCGAGGCTCTTGAATTGTTGGCTTGAAGAGCGCATTAGCAAATGTTCTGTTACCAAGAGATCTTGTGTATATGCAACTGAATTCATTATAGCCATGTGCGTTTGTAGAGCAAAGGCCAGTTGGCAGAAAATTTTATGTATGCATATGTATGTATGTATATGGAACAGTTTAATTATGGAATGCCTATGCCTTGAAATACTACATATTTGTCTCTGAGTTGAAGATATATTCCAAGAATATATTAAATCTGTAGTTATGTAAAGTAAAACAAGCTTTTCGAGGTATTGTCCACAGGTCTGAGACTATGACTTTTCACTAGGCAAAATAGAGAAAGCAATACTCACTAATATATGGTTAGTATACAGGAGTTTGGCTTAAAGGGAAACGTCTTCGTGTAGAAGCAACGTTTACTAAATCAGGGCTTTGTGTGAAGCACAGTAAGAGCTCACTAAAGTATATGATTATAAGCACTACGAAAGATATATGAAATATTGACCCATATTAGGACTAGTTGCTTACAGCAAATATGACTTAAGCGAATGGTTACAGCATGCAGTAAAGCTTAATTTGAGTTGACATAGTCGATGAGATAGAGAGATCTGGAACTAAGCAAACGAAAGAAATATGAAGAAGTCACAAGATCTCAGTATTAGTTACTTAAATGAATGCCGAAATCATACAGAAAAGCTTGCCTTGAGTAAGCAGAGAGAACTCGAAGTAATCACATATGATATTCCTTCATCTCTTCATCAGTCATAATTCATTTCTAATTCTATTTTAAAGAGCCAAGCATGGTAGCTTTGGCATAGAGAAATAGCCCTGAGACAGAGAACAATTCTTGGTTTATATAAATGGAATTTTTAATTCATCTATAAAAATAGCTTTCTTTGAACTGTATTCCATAAACAGGGAAAGGCCATCTACACTTTATTATCGCATCTCCGATTTAGTTTCATTTCTATTCTAGATGCCTCAGCTTTAATTTCAGCTTTGCATGACAACAGCAAAACATCTTGATGCCTACTGAAAGCCAATTACTCCATGGGAAATGGATGTCAAAGAGAAATAAACAAATGTTTGCATTAAACAATATGAAATGAAGCTCGAAACCCTATCCAAATATTTGTAAGATGAGCTGAGAGAAAACGCTGAATACGCACGAGATCAGCTGGATGAACAGATAAGAATTTAAAGTGGAATTCGCTATGGGAATTATCTAAATGCATTGGACAGTTTGCATTAGAGTTAAGGATGGCTTAATTTGCCACAAAAACTAAATATATATTCAAACATGTTTCGTAATTTACAATAAAAACTAATTATATATATTTTATTTATATACAAAATGTTTTCAATCGTTTTTTCATGTTTGTTGTTAAATGTACACTTAAAATTGTATTATTATTTAATTGGGTTTTCTCTTCTTGCGCTATCGACGCTTTATGACGATTTTCCCCTTAGCCAGATGCGACATGTTGATCTTGAATTTGCTCTCATTCGATCGCTTCACCCAGATCTAAAAGGAAGAGAAAGAGAAGGAGAGATTAGCATGTGGATATATAATATTGTGTTATAAGATGAGGTATGAGAACTTGGGATTTGACTATTCATATAAATAGAAGCTATATATACAGTTTGTTGTATACAGCATGTATGCCAAAGGATTTGAATGGACTTTGGCTAATAGGTAGATCTATTTATATGCCTATAGATCATCAATTTTGTTGTACTCACCACATCGTTGCTAATGGCCGTAATGGTTGCTGCAAACTTGTTCGTATCCTTGCCCTCAACGTAGATCTGTTGGCCGCGACAGAACCAGCGACGTTCGTAGAGCAACTTGTTGTCCTCGATGCGCGTCTCCACATAGCTGTTCGCATCCGAGAGCAGGCCGTGCGACGATTGCTGCTGCTGTTGTTGGTGCTGCTGCTGTTGATGTTGTTGCTGTTGTTGCTGCTGTTGCTGGGTGTTTGTGTAGGAGCCCATGCCGTTCTGCTGCAGCGGCATCGGTTTGCCACGCTGTATCATCTTTAAATCGGACTCGATTTCCTTATCGTCCAGTTGATAGACCAGCAGTTGACCCGTCGCCGGTTTACGACGCTTCTCAATCACCGGCAGCGGTTCATTGGGTCGCCGTCGCAGCTTGCGTGTGACTGTTGTCTTAATTTCCATAGAATCATTGGTTAGCTCTAAGCTATATCTCTCATTCTCAATCTGGCGCTTTCGATCCTCAAAGTCAGCTATCAGATTATCCTTGAGATCCATCATTTTCTCATCGTATTCCTTCTGTGCTGCATTCTTCTCCAGTATATAGTCACGATCAACGCACTCACGCATGTAATCCTTGTAGATCTCATTGAGACGTCGGCGTTCCTTTAGCTGATTATCTAACTTACGCAAACGCTTTAAATACTCGGGATGTATATGTTGATTCAGGTCGTCCAGTTGCTTGTGCAGATTGATCAGCTTATGTTGATACATCCTGTAAAAGAAGGAGAGATTAGTCAAGATTTCAAAGTACAAGCTTAAACAGTACAATCTGGACTCTCGCAAACATCACTGACTCATAAATAAACTATATATTCAATTACGAATTATTGAAATCTTCTTCTACTAAAAATCATAAGTATAATTCACGTACTGTTCCTTCAGCTCACTATTGCTGCCAATGTTGTTGTTGTTGCTGTTCATGAAGTTATTGTTGTTGTTGCTGCTATTGTTGTTGTTGTTGCTGCTGCCATTGTTGCTGTTGTTGTTGTTGGAGGACGAATTCCCATTGGTGCCGCCATAGCGATGAGGACTGCGAAACTCAGTTTCGCTTGCATCGTCCGTATCTGCAATTGTGAAGCGTTTCATGATTAACTGTCAACTGCGTTCGTTTTGCATTTGCTTTACGTTTTTTATGCATTTTCTCGTTACTATTAGTTTTGCTTACCTTCTTCGCTGCGTTCATCGCCAATCGACTCGTCGTCGTAATTGTCGCCCGAGTATAGCGTATAGTAGGCATTCATTGTGAAAAACGTTACTTTGGCTAGTAGCTAGTTAGATGCGTTTATATGCTTAATGTTTTTATTCAATTTATTACAATTGTTTATATTTCGTCTCGCTTTTAACTTGCAGACACATACACACACGGTCGTTGGCAAACTACCAGTGCTGTAAAATTCGCGAGTTTTATTGCTTTGGCCACTCTATTATGTCTTAATCGATACTTGCGTGCTATGCAACACTAATACTTTGGTCATCATGATGCCGTGTATTTCTAAGCTTTGGCGGTAAATTTGAAATTTGTTTCAGATAACCTAAAATAATATATTGAATACTATGTACAAAAATAGAAAAAAAGGAATGAAATTAAATAGAAGTGAAACATTTCAAGCCAATAGAAGATACATTCGCTTATGAAAATGTAAACAAATATTTATATTCAAGAACTTTCTGCGTAATATACTAAATTGTATGATTCATAGTTGTATCTATATCATTATGAATGGATATACTATGTATTATCATAGTGGTTTGATGTGGGCTATGCTACCCACGTTTTAAAAAGCGCCCACAATTTTATGCATATATAGTTTTATGTTTTCTACTATATCAAAAAGTTTTCAAAGAATGTTTCAAAGTTTATGACAACGCACAAATATGCCAACAACAACAAGCAACAATTATATACATATGTAAATCTATATGTATATACTTAAAAATATATATTATTAGTCTCGAGACACTTTTAGTTTCGGCATTTCGAGCGCTGTCGTCAAGCGTTCACGCCCACGCACAAAGATCTACATATTTGCCTGAGTTGAGTAATTGGCGTATTATACATCAGCTAAATATTCCATGCTAAATCATCGCTGGTGAATTTTGATTGATTTCCATGACATATGCAACACTTATATACACAAATATGTATATATACATATGCCAGCTACAGTAAAAGCTCGAATATTAAATTGAAACAAATTTTTAATTATTTTATCGCTCAGAATATATTAAGAATACATGTAGGTATGTATAAAAAAAAATTAGTGATATTTCCTTTCATGAGTGTTCGTCTAAGAGAGTAGTCACCGTACATGAGCATCTTCATAAATCTATAGAAGCGAAAATGTGTAGCTAAGGCCGATGATGAACATTCTCGACGTATGCGAATGGGAAAATTTTTTGTGTTTTTCTTCATTTCAACGCTTAGTCGCATATTGCAAATGCACACACAATATATGCGTATATACACATATACATATGCATATATAATCTTAGCAGATTTTGGGATCGAGATCTTTGTCGACTTCAAGGTCGCGAATTTCGATGAAAATGAGTTTATTGTTTGGACAGAGGTATTAACGTCCATGTGGGCGCTACCAAGATGATTGTTATTTTATTTTTGTAATTCATGATTGAATTTATTTTATTATCTACGTATATATGTATATTTTGCGTATTTTTATGTCGTGACAACTGCTGAAATACGTTTTTTAATTAATATTCACATTTAAGTTGCTAGGGCCGTTGACTGCTGTATAGCGTTGCCAGACCGTAAAAGGATATCGCTCGTAATGCTGCTGCTGCTGATGCAGTCGCCGCTTCAATAACATCGATTACTCATCGCGCTTCCCATTTGTTTACAAACAAATCGAAATTAATGTCGCCAACGTTGCCGCCCACGTGCTCACACTCTCATATACATACATATACACTCGCACACACTCAAATATTTCTAGAACAGTTTGCTATAGTTACAAAGTGGCTTGAAAATGTGCCGTTCTCTGCCCTAAAACGGACAAAGCGTCCATTAAGCTTTAAACCAGTTAGCATTGCCGTTACCGGTTACACTTCCACCACCCCCACAATATATGATCAATGTGCAAAATGGGAAAACAAACTAACCAATCAGCGACTGCAGTCTCATAACTGTGTTATTGTCTATTTTTAGCACCGTGCAGTAATTTTTAGTACATTTATTTTTGAATGCATATTCAATGTTCATACCAAGCGAATTACACAAAATAACCAAAAATTATAAAATAAACAAATTTGTAATTAACTTTGATACTGATTATATACCAAATATAAATATTTATAAATGGAGACACATAGTATGTATGTATATACATACATACATACAAATGTACGTACATATGCATAGTCGTAAATGCATTTAAAGATTGAACACAACATAAAAAGTCCTGTCTGCTCTAGCACTTTTCCTAATAAGATTTTGAATTGCGCTATACGACTGCTGCATACCCTTCTCAAAAGTAGTTTGATAAACAATCGGTTTTCATATTTCCGCTGAAATATATGTAAATAATGAATTATGTATAAAAATGAACATTTAATATTCATGTTAGGATCTTTTTCTATAATTTACAATATATTGCTATGCATTTGATAGGGCGTTGCCGAATATATGTATATACGTCGATGGCCCTCGTAGCTAGCACGTTTAATAATTTTTAGATTTATATTTTT